ATTAATCTATACATTAAAAAAAACAAAAAACTTGCAAAACTTATGTGGTCTCAACTGTGTCCCAACCATTTCAGAATTTTATCTTGAATATGTCAATGAAATACATAGTTAAGATCTTCCTAAAAGTGATTCTGAATGATTTTTCGGCTTCATGTGTTTTTATTCATGTGCAAACAGATATAGATATTTCTTTCACCAACACATGTACACACACTTTTTTTCAATTTTATGCAGATAAAACATGATTCTGAATGATTTTTGAACAAATTCTGTAGCTTTTTAAGTTTCTTGTGTTGCGCTGCTTACAAATTATGTTCATGGCAGATAGTGAAATAATTAATATTTCTTCCCAAATCAACAGATACAGAAGCTACAGGACATGGGGAACAAGAAAAAAAAATTAAAATACGATTTCATAGTAAATTTCTGTGAGCAAATGAGGATTATATTGATATAGGAACTTTAACAAATAAAAAATGTTGCTATGTTTTTGAGCGATAAGTTGATATAATGGTAATTAAAGTTGTGACAGGCTTAAGTCTGGTGTTGCTTTTATCTAAACCTTAAGCTTTTGCTGTGTTAATACTTTGAAGCGTCATCTGCTTGTCCTTGCTCCAGATCAGGACCCTTATCTTCACCTTTAAGTACTTCATTTACAGCTCGGCCCAACAGCCTCTAGACTGTGTGTATTTTAGTCCACTCTTTTACTCCCAAGGTCACCACTACTATTACTACTACTAATGCTACTACTAATACTACTATTACTAATACTACTAATAATAATGCTACTACTACTACTACTACTACTACTACTACTACTGCTACAATATTAATACTAATAATAATAGTACTAATACTACTACTACTGCTAATACTACTAATATTACTACTAATTGTACGATTACTACTAATACTAATACTACTACGATCACTATCATTACTACTACTGCTATTACTACCGCTACTACTATACTACTGCTACTACTACCACTACTTCTATACTACTGCTGCTACTACTGCTAGTGCAATATTAATACTAATAATAATAGTACTAATACTACTACTACTAATACTACTAATATTACTACTAATTGTACTATTACTACTACTACTATTACTACTATTAATATTACTAATAATAATACTACTACTATTACTACTACTACTACTATCACTACCACTACTACTAGTACTACTACTACTACTATCACTACCACTACTACTAGTACTACTACTACTACCAACTACTCATACTACTACTACTACTACTACTACTACTACTACTACTACTACTACAGTTTCAATCTAATACAATCACAATATTTGGTCACAACATACAAGTCACAAAGGTTACATATAGACTTCAAATAGGGAACAATTTTGGGGGTCAGTATTTATTTTGGGTACTTTTTCTTTGTACTAGTGAGGAAGTGTTAGTTATTTTTCTGCACTACGATAAGATCTAAGTTATAGAATGTTGAATAAATTTAAAAAGTTGTCACAAAAGTATTCATTCTGCTATCTATTTACTGCAGCATGTTCTTTTTAGGCATATTGTACATTCAGAATAGTTTTTAATGGGATAATTCAGCTTTAAATTTCTTGTATCAGTGTCATGAATTAGTTTCCATAGCCTCTTTCTTCGACAGTATATCGCACTTCAGAATTACGTGACAGGCCTATTAGTTATTTAGCTGATATAATGACCTCTGCAGTCTCCATAGCGTTGTGTCTTATTATTTATTAAACCCGTTACCCTCTAGTTTTGACCTCTACAAACCTGGAATGTGTGGGATTCTTATATGGATTAGCTGTTCACTCTTCTCTCAAATGTTAATAATTATACGGTATTTGACCCTGTATAGCTGAAATGTTAACATAGTACATGATACTAGGACATATGCATAAATGTTGAGGCGTAAAAATATGGTTTATTCCTCCTTATGTATTGAATGATAAATTAATTAGTGATAACAATACTATGTGTTAACTAGGGCCTGACCAATATGGATTTTGTTGCAGCCGATATGATACTGATAAAATGGGAGTTGCCGATATATTTAGTGATGTAAAAATTTGCTGTAAATCTTGAATTGTTTAAAAACATCTAAAAAAACAGTGGAAATTTAAATTGAGTTTATTTAGGCAGCATTTATTGTTATTCTGCCTCTTGACGTCATATTTACAGACAGTAGGTCGACCTAATGACATTTTTGCATCACATTCTAGCCAGTAAAGAAAGTAAACTACAGCTATTAACCTTTAGCCGTAAATGCGTGCGTGCCGCGGTAATTCATTATATGCGTAAATGTCAATCATTCACACCTCTGTTCACGACTCATTTACGTCAATGCAGGTCCAGTAACATATATACGGCCAATATAGTCACTTTACAATAGGCCAATACAGCAATACAATACAGCAGCTAATCGCTAACCAGTGAGAAATAACCAAAACAAGCTTCAAAATCGACATATTTCCAACACTCACCGCTCACACAGGCTCCTCCTCACGTCACAAGTCTGCACTAATAAATGTCCTTTTAATCCTGACTCAAACCGATTGTCCGTAAAAATGAATATAACGCACATGGATCTATGGCTACGGGTGTAAACAAGCGCATTTGAATGACGTGACTCTGGGGGTGTGTTCAGGGACAGTACGGCCACACACACAGACAAATGACTCCACAGGTAAATACTGATGAGGAGCCACATATTAGGACATTTATCTGCCTGTAAATTGGATTAAATGAACATAATGTAGAGCGTCTAAGCTTTATAACAAGGTATAATATGCCCACGTGAAATATCGGCCCATATCGGCAAGATTTAGGCCGATCGCTGATATGTCTCTAAGGCTATGTTCAGACTGCAGCCTGAACTGACCCAAATCCGATTTTTTTTAGCCCCTATGTGACCTGTATCTGATCTTTTAATGACAGTCTGAATGACAGATTTTTTTCAAATGCGACCCAGGCCACTTGGATATGTGGTCCTGAAACCGATACATATCTGATCTTTTTACATGTGACTTCAGTCTACGTTGAGTCCATGGTTGGACAACTTCCGTAAACACAGAGCACGCTCAATGCAGTTGACGTCGTCGTGTCCTCCAGTGCGCATGCGGGACACTTTTGGGCCGTTTAATGTTCACACTGGAGTCACATACAAGTCGCATTTAATTGGAAATGTGAACGACCTTGCAAAAACATCGGATTTCACAAAAAAATCCGAATTGAGCGTTAAACCCTGCAGTCTGAACATAGCCTAAGAGCCAATATCAGCCAACCAATATATCGGTCGGATCCTAACCTTTGCTTTGCTTATTCAGTTTGTGGTTTTAGATTTGAGAATGTGATGACGTGGTGGGAAGAGCCAGAATTTCCTGCTGTTTACATTGTACTTGGCCATGAAATATCCAAAAAGTAAACACACAAATACTGATCCAGATCATTTCTAATCCTAACTATCAATTTTAGCTGTTCACCATCTGTATTAAAACATATTGACTTATAGAATGTTGCGATGGCGTCTGAAACTCAGCAGTAAAATCCCATTACAATATCTTCCGGGGAATCAGCTGGAAAGTCCCCCAAGCTGGAAAGTCCCCCTGAATTGTACCCTTTATGAAAGTCAGTTAATCTATATACATATAAATAAAAAAATTTAAGTATTAATTACACACACAAGTTACAATGTATCTCAACACATTTGTTCATACATACAAACAAAAGATGCAAAAATTATGTGGTCTCAAACGCACACGGAGTAAAAACAGTGCGTCAAATTACTCTTCAGGAATAGTCTACAGGTGAGGCACAAGTGAATTATGTGTCTGAAGGATTTTTGAACAAATACTGTAGGTTTTTAAGCTTATCGTGTTGTGCTGCTTACAAATTACATCTCACAATACGATATCGTCACGGTATGAACCTCATGGAACGAGATTTATTGCGATATTGTGGGAAAGCTCACGATTAGGGATGTAACAATATCCAAATCTCTCGGTACGATATTTTCACAATATACATCTCACGGTACGATATTTGTCGCAATATTTTGTGGAGGCTTACAAACAAAACTGTGAATATGCTACTTTTTCCTCTTAAAATGCTTTGACAAGACTTAATCCAAAGAACTAAGACTTAAATGTGCTTAAAACTGTTATTTCTTCTTGTAGACTGCATTGAAATGGAGCAAAGGATCATGGTCTATGTAGTTCCCTCTGTCTTTTTTTTACTTTTGCTGCACCATAACTCTTAATTTAAGCGTTAAATCTTGTAATTTGATGTATTGTGATGGTCCACGATATTATTGTGAGAACTTTGACGATACAATATCACAATATTTCAGTTATTGTTACATCCCTACAGGTAGGTCATGAAATAATTAATATTTCTTCACAAATCAACAGATACAGAAGCTATAGGACATGGGGAACAAGAAAAAATCTTTAAAATATGATTTCATAGTAAACTTCTGTGAGCAAGTGGGGATTATATTGATATTACAGACTGAAAAAAATTTGTGCCGCTTTAGGAAGATCAGTAAAATGACGTAAACAAGGCCCGACATTTGGTCTGGCTATATTCACATTTCATTTTATTACGATATAGATTTTCTAACTCAATACATCACAAACTAAAGACCGGAGGAAGGAGGGGAACGTTTATGCCAAGAGAATGGGACGCTCGAGCTGGGACTTTCAAGCCAGGCGGACGCTCGAGCCGGTATTCGATTTTGGACAGCCTGAAAATACATGTCAATTGAGGTTTATCACCAAAAACTTTCAATAATATAAAAGCAGAAACGATGAGAAAACAGTAGCAGAAATGATGACAGACTAAAACCAACCAATAAGGAAATGTTATTCGATACTTCTCCAAAATTATACAGCTCTAGCTCTAAAGATTATATCTGAAGTGTTGACCTTTTGTGAAACTGTATCCTTCACTCATCCCTTTGTTTTATATGTGTGTGTTGTTGTTTTTTTTCCAGGTTATCCTTGTGCATTGTTCTATCGACGCTTTCTTTTCTACCAGCCGCCCACTCTTCTTCACTTGTTCCATACTCTCTTTGGACTGGCCCTCGCTGCTTTCAACTTTGGTAAGATCCTGTGTAACTTTCGAAATTATTACTAAGAAAATATGCACTGCAGTAAAAAGTAAAGGCAATAATTAAAGATTAACGAAAAACAATCTCAATAGAAATCACTTTTTAGACATCCTCAACTATGTTTTACTACTAACTTTTAGATTTAAGACAGAAAAGTGCCAATTTTAATGAACCAATTTCTATATAGCGGCTTATCTCTAGTTAAAATTATGTTCCTTTGTCATTAGTTTTCTCAAAGTAGTATTTTGATTTGATTCATGCATGTTTAAGTAATCCTGTATTGTCCCGTATTTGAGGCTTAAGTGCTCAGATAATTCCTGTTTTCACCTACCCCCCATCTCCACCCACAATCCTACACTTACACTTCTTATTTATTTTTTTCAGTATTTAATTATGTATATTATTTTCTAGCTCTGTAGGGTTCAAACATGTCACAGAACCATTTTCCAGAACTGAATTTATTTTGATTAATATGTGGAATAATTATCTATGTATTTTATAGTTTGATTATATACACCTCCTAAAAACATAATATATCTTCTTAAAATATATTGAACTTAAAATGAAATGATGTTGTTTTTAAATGAATGTTCAGTTAAATAATTTTGTGGGTGTTGAGCTAGACTTCCAAACTCTCAAAGCATGATGAACATATACCAGCTCAGGACGAAATAAACAGATCATGGTAACCCTAAGCATTTGTTTGTATCCACAGGTTCAGGGTTCAGCTGTGTTGTGTTTTGACACTAGTTTTATTACGCTGATGTTTACAATGACGTAGCACAAGTCAATGGCCCCGTTAATGTTGAGTAATTTGATCAACCGGATCAATATTGTGTTTTAAAATAAGCACATTTAAAGGGAGGGTGTTGTGCAAATTCCAGTGTTTGGAGCTTTCTACCATGTTATAACTAGGGCTGGGTATCATTAAGAAGTTGCTGATACGATACATACCTCGATACTTAGGCCACGATACGATACATATCTTGATACAGTGCACTTTCGATTCGATACGGTATATTTCAAATCGATTCGATATGGCTCAATAAAAAATAAAGGCTCTAATTGTGTCTGTGATACTAAAAGTCTTTGTTAAACCACATCTTGTGCAAAGTTCATGCCAAACACAAACATTTTAATCATCAAAACAGTGAAAATGTCAAATATGCTGCATGAACGAGTTTCCTTCCTCTAAACAAGCAACAAAACTGTAGCGCTGTAACAAAATAATTGAGTAAAATATACCAAAAAAATACTCTAATGGCAGCCCAGGATGTCGAAACTGTATCATCACATTAAACGATATGATATATCAGTATTTTTGCACACCCTAGTTATAACGTTGTCCCCTGATCAAAAATATGCCTGAAGAGATTTTATATGCCATCTATGCATGTTTGAGTAATCTAGCAATCTCTACTAGGCCCCATTCAAACCTAGCCTGATTCATCAGCCGGTTTCACTTCCTGAAAACTATCTGACCTTGCAGCATTAGGAGGACGGTAGGCAGGTACTTTTTTTATTTAACCAATCGCTGCTATTTGGTCGTGATGTATGTAATGTACCAAAGAAAGGCAATAACGTTTTTCCCCTTGATAAAATTCCCCAAACATTCTCTTTGTTCCGGCTTTAAATCCTTGGTCTCGGGAATTGTTGCCAACACAGAATATATGGCTTCATCTGCATCCATCTCGATCGCTTTGTTTACTGTTGTGCTGAACCATAAAAGGGACCCAGACAGATGCTTGAGTTTGACGTCATGGCTTCACAGCTCTTCACTGATTGGCCGGTGTGCGGTCTACAACTTCCGGGGTTCTTGCAAACTGTCTAGTGTATTCCGATTCCTGACCTAGTTGCTGAAGAGAAATGAAACTGAGCGGAGGCAGTAGGTGGCACCAGCCTGGTTAATTTAAGCTCTCCTTATCGTTAGGAGCATGATCCTATCCAAAGCTCAGCCCACAAGCCTCTGTATCAGACTTTTACACAGTAGGGAAAATTGCTGTGAGAGAGCATGGATGACAAAGCAGTACACTAGAACTTCAGAAACTAGATGCGAGGTGCAGTGCTTTCTTCACGGAAATGCACACTGATTGTGTTGTGATAGCACTCTGAAGGGGGTGTGACTCTGTGCTAAGAGCAAAGGGAGGGGGGCAGCTCAAAGCATCAAAAAACTGAACTGAAACTTATATTCAACACGTACTAAGCGAATATAGCATTTCCAAAACAATAAAAGGTGTTAGGAGTTAATACCCCGTAGACGTAACACTCCCTCTTTAAGATGGCATGCACGTGCATAAGTCACAAGACAGAGACAACTGCAGGCGAAGCGAAAACAACTTGCTTATTTCAGATCTTTTAAGTTCCCAAAATGCCTTCCTGGATTGGGTCCAAATTGTGGTGTAAAAAGAAGCTTTTGTCCTCAAGTTCTGAACCAAAAAATGAAGCTCTCCTAAAAAGCACATGATTGGGGGATTTAAAAGTGCAGCTAAAACTGAAATACAGCGCTTACCTCAAAAGCAGCTGTTGTTCAAGGATTTCACACTCATGGCAGAAATCGATTCTTTGACATTTACAGATAATGAAATGGGTGCTATTTTTCTAAAACTATTATAGAAAGTCCTTCCTTTTTATTACGCGGATGGGAGATGTATTGGTTCCAGTATCGTATCAGCTGATCAAATTTTTCGTTATTGACTACCAATATTCAATACAGATATTTTTCAAGTGCTGAACCAGTTTGTGTGTCCATGTGTCGTTCTCAGAGCATCAGATTTTTCTTTTTGATTAGACTTATGAGTAAAAATGGAAATAGAAGAGCATTTATGGCCTTAAATTTAAACAAACGTGTAACAAATGACTTTATACTCCAGGTAAATACATTCAGTTAGTCTTTTTACAAGTGAAAAGATCATTTCTGTTCTTAAATTTAACTGGATTTTTAAAGCCATAGGTAATAGGAGTGTGCAAAAATATCGAAATATCAATATATCGTATCGTTTAATGTGATGATACAGTACTGTTGTCGTTTGCTGCTGTATCAATATATCGCCAAGAGTGTTTTTTGCTATATTTTACTCAATTATTTCGTTACAGCGCTACAGTTTTGTTGCTTGTTTAGAGGAAAGAAACTCTTTTATGCGGCACATTTGACATTTTCACTGTTTTGAGGATTAAAATGTTTGTGTTTCATATTCACTTTGCACAAGAAGTGGTTTAACAAAGACCTTTAGTATCACAGACGTTATTTTTATTGAACCGTATCGAATCGTTTTGAAATATATCGTATCGAATCGAAAGTGTGCTGTATCGAGATATGTATTGTATCAGGAACTTCTTAATGATACCCAGCTCTAATAGGTATCGGACAAAGCAGCAGGCCAAATATCGGACATCGGTAATCGGCTCAAAAAATTAAATTCTTATCTCCCCCTTCCTACTTTTTTGTTTATAATTAACTAAAACGAAGATTAATAGGAATTTAAATGAAATGTGAATCATCAGAATTTGCAAATCATAAAGCCCGCAATTATTTAAACAGCATAATTTCTTCTGCAAACAAAAGAATAAGCCAATCATGTAGTTTAGATCTCTGCAAACACGCTCTGAAACGCATGCGATTCGTGGATTAGTCTAAAGCTCGGTGTGTGCTCAATCCAAAATCGTGCAGCTCTACCCTTTATTGGAGTGAACATGGAACTGTTGGGAGGAAAATACTTTTTGTGCTGTAGCTGTACTCGTCACACTTCACTTCTCACATCAGCCTTTCTCTCCCTCCCTCCTTCTCTCTCCCACAGGTACACAGCTCAGTCACTCCGCAGTATGTATCCTTGTAGAGTTCCTGATGCTGAGGCTCATGGGAAGGACGATAACCACGGTCCTCAGCAGCTTTTTCTTTCAAATGGTAACTTCACTTTTTAGATTTTTATTTCTTTTGTGTTCACAGCTCTTTCTTTACACAGTGGCTTAACATTAAAACCACATTCATTCAAGAGTTTGTTACAGAATCCCACAATAGAAAGTGCACATTACACCGCAAAAAAGCTTGGCCAAAATTTAAGATATAAACATTTAAATCTATCAGAAAATGACGTAAAAGCAATGAAATTATTTGTCCATGCAGCAAGATCATTTTACTTGACAAGATATCTTAAAATAAACTACCTCAAGACTAGAATTATAAGCAGTCTCAGAACAAGTAAGTAGATAATAAATCAAGAAAACAAGATGAATAACCTGATGTAAGTTTTAAAATCTTGGCCAGATCAGAGAAATTTGCTGTATAAGAGATTGATGTGAATTGTTTTCGACACGTTATCAATCTGGAATTGCTTGTGCTGAAAAGAGATCAGGAAAAAACATGAGTCATGACGATTATCTGAATCTGATTGGTCAAAGCTTCACTACAGCAGAACAAGAAAATCTAACTTTTTTATTTATTTTTTTTTTTTTACATCCAGTGGAGGAACAAGAACAGACATCTTCTCTGTCCACAAATGCACAAATGCAGTTCTCTTCCACATATTTTTCACAAAGTAGTCTGTATTTCTGCTAAATTAGGCGTCTCTCGTGCGTCTGTGAGTGTCACCGTGTTTTGTTTTGGTTTGCTTGGGTGCTTCCTTTTCGGCTCTGGCTTTGCAAAAAACATGACGAACCACTAATGACTATTCTTCCTTTAGTGGTTAAACTTTGACTACATATAAAAATAGTTTAAAACCATTTCTATTGCTTCATGCTTTGTGGTTCACATGTTTCATTGTTCTTTTATGTTTTTGTAATCTCTCTACAGATTTACTTGTTGGCTGGATACTATTTCACCGCCACAGAAGAGTACGACATCAAGTGGACCATGCCCCACTGTGTCCTCACGCTCAAACTCATCGGTGAGTTCACACACACAGTTAAGGCAAGGCAAGTTTATTTGTACAGCACAATTTGTACACAAAGTCATTCAAAGTGCTTTACAGAATAAGAAATACATTAAAATCACAGTAAAAACAAATCAAAACATAAATAATCATCATAAAATTAAAGATTAAAATAAAAAAATTTAAAAGTGAGGGGGACATTAATTACATAAATGAGAGAGAAGAGTGCGGAGTGAAAACCTTTCAGTCATTTGCAGTTAAACAGAACCGTTTTGAGCCTGGATTTAAACAGCGTCCTAGTAGAGGACTGTCTCACATCGTCAGGAAGACCGTTCCAGGTTAAGAAAGAAGTTTTATTTTTAATATTCAGGGGTCTTAAAAGTCTTAAAAAGGTCTTAAATTTCATGTTCCTAATTTAAGGCCTTAAAAAGTCTTAAATTATGTTGTCCAAGTCTTTTTTTTTCACAAAGGTCTTAAATTTCATTAGCCTATTTTTTTGTTTACTTAACCGGGCTGCAGTGCAATGTTAAATAGAGGAAAGAAAACAAAAAAAAAAACAACAAGGTGAAATTACGTAATGTGAATAAATGTCTAATTTGGACAATGGCGACAATGAGTAAACAATCTGTCCCATCTACACTGCCCAAGACGCAAAACTCTGGTCAGATTTGCTCACATCGCATTTACGTCACATACATCACCACCGAGCCGCCTGGCATGCATACCAAATCCAATTCCACACACTTTACGTCACCGCATGCACTCAGATTTCCTCCCAAAAACACTAATCTAAACACGAAATAAAAAGTGAAGACACTACGCCACTTTTGTGTCTTCTGTTCAGACCGTTATCATAGAAACGTAGCCTTAGATTCTAGATGTAGTACCAGTAGTTGGTTGGTCATTATTAGAATTGGATGTGGTGTTTTTCATTCGCATAATGGGTGCAATGTTGGGCTTAATTTTCATTTAAGTGGTCTTAGAAAGGTCTTTACGTTTTAAATTTGGGGCAGTCAAACCTGGGGATACCCTGATATTGTGATAAGTTTATTTTTGCATTTGACACTTGGGATTCTTGTAAATTTAATCAAATCATGTCATCCTGTAAAATATAAAACATAATTATCACAAAATTGGATTTTTGGTGTATTTTACTATAATATTTTGTTACAGTGCTGCAGTTTTGTTGTGTGTTCAGAGGAAGGAAACTTGTTTATGCAGCACATTCCACATTTCTGATGATTAAAATGGGCGTGTTTCATATTCACTCTGCACAGTAAGTGGTTTAACAAAGACTTTTAGTATCACAGACATTATCTAGCCATTTTTTTTAACTATCGAATGGATTTGAAATATATTGTGCACTGTATCGAGATATGTATCATATCGTGGCCTATGTATCGTGGTTTGTATCGGGGCGGCAACTTTTTAATGATACTCGCTCGCTCACTGTGTCTCAACGTTAACGTCACTTCTATTAAAATTGTTAAACCTAAAATAATCCTATATAATCTATTAAAATTCAAATTGATAAAAAAGAAAACAAAGGCTACGTTCAGACTGCAGCCTGAAGTGACCCAAATCAGATTTTTTTTTTTTGGCCCCTATGTGACCTGTATCTGATCTTTTAATGACACAGATCCGATTTTTTCAAATGCGACCCAGGCCACTTGGATATGTGGTCCTAAAACCGATACATATCCGATCTTTTGACATGTGACTTCAGTCTGAACGGTCAAAGCGCATTCATCCGACCTACACGTGATCAACAAGCCACAAACGTCACTATTCTGCTCTGAAGTAGGCGAAAATTATTAATGAACTCCGTGTCACTGAAGCGAAGCACATCATGACTCATGGCTACGTCTCCACATCCACACGTTCCTTTCAACGGACGTTGCTGCCACTGTCCCACAAAACACCACGGCTAAAAACCTCGTCCTTCTCCTTCTCAATCTCCTCCTTAAAACAAGTAAGTTGTTCATGTTCTGACTCTGGCACAAGAGAAACTTTAAAATCTCCAGGTGCTCAATGCTCGAGTCCATGTTTGGACAACTTCCGTAAACACAGCAGCACGCTCGCTGTAGTTGACGTCATCGTGTCTCCAGTGCACATGCGGGACACTTTCGGGCTGTTTAATGTTCACCCTGGAGTTCACATACAAGTCGCATTTAATTGGAAATATGAACAACCTCGCAAAAACATTGGATTTCACAAAAAAGTCGGAATTGTGCATTAAGCCCTGCTGTCTGAACGTAGTCAAAGACTACCCAATTACTGTTATTATGTAGAACACTTGAGCTTATGGCATCGTTTTAATATTTACTATGCCTCAAAATCTGCATTATTGTTTGCACTGAGATACAAATCTCCATTTCTAAACACAGAAGTGTCCTCCGCTGAAGTGTTTGTTTTATTTGCGTACTTTTTAACATGTCGGTGATATCAACCCACAGCTTCCTGTTTTTACCGTTTTATCTTTGATTAAATATTTATTCATTTTAGCACGACTCTGCCAAAACCACACAGACATAAATTGGGCAGGAAGTGGTGACCCTGACAGTGAGGATACTGGGCGTTGTTGTGTACAGAGCCCATTTCCACCTCTGTCATCTTCTCATTACAGGTCTTGCGTGGGACTACTATGATGGCGGGCAGGAAAATGTGAGTTTATTTCTACTTCGGCTGATTACGTTATGTAGGTGTGAATTACAGATGCACAGCGCAACGTTTCTGCATTCGCCTGCTTGTCTCCACGGCGATGTTATTGCTTTGCCTGGATTGTTTCACAGTGTAGCATTAACTCATCCATCTCCTCTGAGACGAGCAGGTAACAGCTCACAGTAAGAATGCATGATTTTAAAGGTATTTTTGAGCATTTTTGGAACATTACAGGTAAAGCAATAACAAGCAGTTGGCTGATCCTCCAGAAAAGTTAGAACATTTACACTAGTGCATGTTTTAATTGATAAAGATTTCAGTCATTTTGATGGTCAGTGATTGTGTCGATAATAAAATAAAAACAGTCAAGGTAAGGTTTCTTCTCACTCTAATCATAACAGGATTTTTACAGTGTAGATGCAATTTTAAAGAACCCATAAATCCGTGTATCATTTGTTCATTCATTTTTCAAAATACAACCAAAAATAAGAAAACAAAAACAACAGTTTTTTCATTATTTGTAGAACTAAACCAGGACTGAGCCAGGACTGAACCAGGAGTGTTGGGACTGGCCTGGACGTGTGCCCGCATAGACTCTGTCGGGTGATCCTGAGACCGGGCCTGAGACCGGGCCTGAGACCGGGCCTGAGACCGGGCCTGAGACCGGGCCTGAGACCGGGCCTGAGACCGGGCCTGAGACCGGGCCTGAGACCGGGCCTGAGACCGGGACTCAGACCGGGACTGAGACCGGGACTCAGACCGGGACTTAGATCTGGTTCAGTTCTGGCTTAGAGTTGGTTTAGTCCTGTTTTAGTCCTGTTTTAGTAGTCCTGGTTCAGTCCATATACATGTCCGGCATTGCAGTTTAAGCCATGGAAATGGGAAACGGCCGTTATCTGTTTTTTCCATTATTGATTTAAACACAAAATCAAAAAATGAAAAAAACGAATTATTATCAGTTTTTTCATTTTGTTTTCGGAGACAAATAATGAAGAAAAACTCTTATTTTTGGTTTTATATTGAAAAACGAATCAACAATTGATACACGGATTCCTTTGTGTGTTTATAATGTTGTTTCCTCTTCAAAAACACCTGGAGGTGTGTGTGGTTTCATTCACACGTATGTAACACACAAGTCCTGCTGAGTTCTTCTGTCAAACTGAAAACACTGTTCCACCTTGTGATGTCATGTGGTAATACAGGACGTGCTCCACTGTGTTTTTAAACTCCATACTCCCTCACTAAAGGTAAAAGGAGATGTTAACCTGAAAACTATCGCTTCATGACATCATAAGGTGGAACAGAGCATTTTGAGCTTTGGAGATGTACACAGACTAATAATCAAGGGTTACTCAACCATGTATGAATGAAAAAACACAAGTATGAGTATGTTTTTAGATGAGGCAACACAACATTCATGACTAAACGCTCACAAGAGTCAATTTTGTATAATCTAGGACCTTTTTAATATGATGCATTTTTGTCTCTCTTTTCCAGTTGAGTGCAGAGCAGAAGAACTCAGCCCTGTCGTCGGTGCCGTCTCTGCTGGAGATGTTCGGCTTTTCCTACTTTTACGGAGGCTTCCTGGTCGGGCCCCAGTTTACACTACGCAGCTACCAAAGACTGGTGGCCGGGGAACTGACCGACTGCCCCGGACAACCCCCTAACAGGTAGAGCTGGAAAGACTAAAGAAAATCAGATACTAATCGAGATACTAAAACAGATAGAATACTAAAATCATTTCACCTGAACAGCTTTAGAAGGATCTTGAGCTGTATCAGAACAAGTATAAGAGCACATAGACTAGTACACGCCCACGGACCACAATGGAACTTACCTGAACAACTGAAGGATTACACCGATATAAGACCATAATATAAAAGAAAGTACCCTATTTTTCATACTTTAAATCGCTCTATAGTATAAGTCACACCAGCCAAAAAAAATGCATAATGAAGAAGAAAAAACATATATAAGTTGCACTTTTTGGGGGAAATTAATTTTATAAAATCAGAGACCAGGAACCGACATTTCATCTTGAAAGGCAAGTAGTGATAACAACAGAACAGAGAACAACAGACTGTTAACGTCACATGTGAGCAGTTCTTCAGATAAATATAGCATAAACAACAGAACGGAACAAGTTTACCAAACTCTCCATCTCACTCCAAATCACAAAATCCTTTGAATTATTCATCCTCGGTGTCACTTCTGAGCAACTCCGTGACCTTCGGAGGTAAACAGAGCATTGCTTCCTCTTCTGCGTCGCTGTCGTCAGACTCAGCATCAATTCCAGTTAGAATTATTCCGGCCTTTCTGAATCCCGACAGGATGGTTTCGATTGTCTTTATGTTTGTTTAAATTTTAAATAGTCAGTGATACAGAAATAATGGTGTGATCGACTGACATGACACCAGACAGGACAGAGGCTCTTTCTCTTTCTTCTGCGGCCGACATGCGCAGTAGAGAGTGAAGTGACAGTGGTACAGGAGGAACAGGAGCAGCAGATACTGACACACAAGACTAGAGCCTCTCGCAGCTGTCAGTGTGAAAACTTTAACATATAAGTCGCACCAGAGTATAAGTTGCAGGACCACCCAAACCATGAACAAAAATGCGACTAAAAATATGGTACTACAAGAAAATGACAATCTATTGTCAAAAGAAAATGTGTTTTTTTTTTTTTCTAATTATCACTGTGGTATCAGAATTGGCATTGTGTATCGGGTCTATTCTTTAGTATCAAAATTGAGTTTGAAATTTTAGTAGCACTGTGAAATGTAAAAAATATGACATGATACCATCTGCTCCTATCTGTAGCATTCATTTTTGTCTTTTGTCAAAACTAATCCAAAAAATGTAACCTTTTTCACTTTTTGTCTTCCAGTGATATACCAGCTTTAAAAAGGTTCGCTCTGGGCTTCCTCTGTCTGGCAATTTACACAATATTCAGTCCGTATTACCCAGACAGCTACTACCTGACAGATGAATTTGAGGTAGGGTGAAACTGCAAATTACTAAAGTGAAAATGGAGTTTTAATCTTAATCAGTGTTTTTTCTTCTCTATAGGCGCAGCCGTTCTGGTACCGCTGTATCTTCATCTTACTCTGGGCCAAATTCAACTTGTATAAATACGTCAGCTGCTGGGTTATCGCGGTGAGTAGTCCGTGAATATGGACTAAACCAGGACTAGAACAGGACCAAACAATGTCTACATCAGGACTAAACCAGGATCAAACCAGAACTAAACTAGAACTTATCCAGGACAAGTGTGAACATAGCTTAAATTGGTCAAAATTACTTGAAAACAGAATATGGACTAAACTAGGACAAGTTTTATTTGTTTATTTAACAGTCGGTTTGTGCAAAAATATCAAAATCAATATATGGTATCGTTTAATGGGCTGATACAGTATCGATATCGTACGCTACTGTATCGATATATCGCTAAGAGTATTTTTTTTTTTAATATATTTTGCTCAATTATTTTTCTGCAGCGCTACAGTTTTGTTGCTTGTTTAGAGGAAGGAAACTCATTTAACAAAGACTTTTTAGTATTTTTTTTTTGAATCGATTTGAAATATATCGTACCGAATCGTATCCAATAAAAAGCTCATTGTATCGAGATATGTATCGTATCGTGGCCGATGTATCGAGGTATATATATCGTATCAGTAACTCCTTAATGATACCCAGCCTTATTTAACAACACAATGCACATAAAAGCATCGACCGCCTCAGAGAAGTAACATGTTTGTGGTTATAGGCAAATACTGATTTCCATCTGTCATAAATAATGCCAATAAAATAAGTAAAACTGCTAGTATAGTCTGCTTCAGTACCAGACACCATATCCATGCAGTAGTTACATATTTACAGTTCACGTTGCTGCATTCATAGAAAGCATGCTCCTGTGTACTGGTTAATGTGTACAGGTAAAACCCAGAACTAGTTTAAACCAGCACGAAACCAAGTCTGCGTGAGGACCAAACTGGGATCAAACCAGACTAAACTTGAAGGGGAAAGTGTGAATGTAGTTGGAATGACTGAATTTTTACGCTCAAATTATGTATTGAATAGTTGTTGTTGCTATACTTTAAACATAGATAATAGTTGTAACAGGCATTTTAAACTGTTGGTTTAAAACTGCAAGACAATTGAAGCTGAGATGCCGCTGAGTATGTCATTATACTTCATAGAGGACTTTTGAGTGTATCACAAACTGGTTTTAGTTATGTGATTTGCCAACCTTAAGAGAAACTCATTTTACTTTCTGAATTGCTTCAGACCTAGAAAAACACAAAATCTTTCACTGTGAACAAATGAGCATTACAATTTATAAATCCTTGTTTCATTTGAACATGTACTTCAATTTTATATCAATTATTACTACTGTATGATTACTTTATATCTGAGGACACACATAGTTAATGTTTATTGATTTTTTTGGTTCATTTTATGTCTTTATTTTTAATCCTAGACATACCACTAATTAACGTTTTACATGGCATTTCTGACTGATTTAAGATACTTTAGCCATCAGGGCTACAATAAACAAGTTATATTTTCATTTAAGTAAGACCAAAAATGCAAATCCACTAAATGCATAAATGTGAAGCGCTGGATTCTTGATGAAAAGAGCTGAAATCAAGTCATTTTCTTCAGATAGATTAATCGAGTACACTGTGTTTTACATGTGTATTACACATGAGATTAACATGACAGAGCAGCTTTTCCAGTTTATCTCGTTTCAAGGCGTAGTAATCATTAACTTTTACATATTTCTGCCTAGGAGGGAGCGTGCGTTCTGGCTGGGCTTGGTTACAATGGTGTCGGGGAGAACGGGCATCACCGGTGGAACGCCTGTGCCAACATGAAGGTGTCTCTGTTTGAAACCACGCCTCTGTTCCAGGGCACCATCGCCTCCTTCAATATCAACACCAACGCGTGGGCCGCCAGGTCAGTCCCAGACCCTTAAAGGTTGTGTAGAGGATTTTTTTAAGGGAAGAGAAATACAGCGACAGTCCTTGTGCATGCGTGACACCACCTTCCTCCTCCACAGCTCCCTCAGTAGAAACATCTCCTCCCGCCTCTTTACTCTAGAAATCGCGCTTGTTTTCAGCGGTTGCATGTTCAGATTGAATGTTGAAGTGACCTGTCTAGAAATATTTTAGCGACCGACTCGTCTTCAGTTTTTCAGGAATCTCCAAGAATCACCTCAGTTTGTCTTCGCTCCTTTTCCCCTTCTCTTCTTCTTTCAGCGACCTCAAAAACGGACTTTCTTTGGCGGCGAACTGGTCGTGGATTCTCGTCCGCCGTCGCAACAAACTTTGTGCAAAATGCGAAGAAGCTACAGTTTGAAAAAGCCTCTAAGAACCGCTGCATAAACCACGTAATCCCTGCGCGTAGGGAGTTTGATTGACAACCTAAGAGCCAATAGAATATGAGGTAGCCTCGTTATCTATTGGCTGATGTTTATCCGGCCTCACTATGTCCACAGTTGATAGATTTTCATTCTGTTTTTTTTTTTTGGTCATCATAATTACAAGGCTGCTGCATCTCTGTAATGGTATTTTAAACTTTCACTGTCAATTTTGAACTAAAAAAAATCCTCCATACAACCTTTAAAGTTGCACCCACACTGACATTGGGATAGATTTAAAGTCTGATATTGTAAGATCTTAACTCTTTCCCCCTTGGACGCCTACTAGGAACAACCCATACATATATGACTAGAGCTACCCATTTTAATTGCATGAAAGAAAACTGACTGCCACGAGTGATTATAAATGATTTTCACACTCATGAACTTAATTGAAACACAGACAGATTTGGTATCTCTGGAAACCTTAGACTCTGAACTCTTTATTTATGGATGTTTAAATGTGATTCAACTCATTTACAGGTTTATAACAGCTCACTGAAAATGAGAGTTTACCTGGTCAGTGGTCCTGCAAAATTGAAAACAAAAAACGACATTCAGCATCTGATATATGCATGTTCTGAGTACTATATTCATAAAAAAAATTGGATCTTAATGTGTATTGATTCCAGATACTGATCCAATACCCCAATCAGCCATGTATTTGGGAGTCACTGAATTTATTTAACGATAAACACATCTGATTGTCTTCACGTAACGAGTTAAAATAATGGGCTTATAAAAAATATCTCTTTAAAAAGCAAATATTTCTTGACGCGACTTGACATTGAGCTTTACAGATACTGACATCTGATGCTACACTGCGCTCAAATTAGGACCAAGCGTCAAATTCAACTACCGCTCCTCTCAAACAAAACAAAAAGCATCTAGACAGCAGGACTGTGAGATTTTCAGACCAAACTTTTGACTAAAAAATAAAAAGTGATGCCCACTCTACCAAAAAATATGCCAAAGAAAGAAACAAAGAGGTCAACAAGCAAGCATCATTCCCAGCTTTGAAACATGAACATTTCTGCGATTACTTGGTCTAATAATACAAAACAAAACCTCCAAAAAGCTATTATTACTCTCTGTTTTGAATTTTCAAGCAACTTCCCTAAAAAAAAACATGAAGAAGTGGACTTTGAGAGGTGTATTTTTCAGAGTTATGTACAATATCTTGCTTAATATTGTAATTAAATTGCGTTAACCTTCATCGCTTTCATACTTTGCATATCATGTATCCAAGGACTCGTACAAACTACCTCTAGAGATTGGAAGTTTTCTCTGTCTTAAGGTCGCCACACACTACAGGATTTGCTTCTTCACGTGTTCTGGGAGGCGTGACCCGACTTTTTGTCTTTGTGTGCGATGTTGAAGCCGCTGTGCTCCTCGTGTGTGTGTCAGTGTGACTCTGAGCTGCTCTGTCAGATCGTAACCACCAAACATCAGTAATGCTACAGTAACAGCTGATAAAACAGAGCATCAGGGGCAGAGGAGTGACGGGCACAAGACGGGACACAAGACGGGACACAAGACGGGACACAAGACGGGGCACAAGACGGGGGACGGGGCACAAGACGGGGCACAAGACGGGGACAAGACGGGGCACAAGACGGGACAAGACGGGGCACACAAGACACAAGACGGGGCACAAGACGGGGCACAAGACGGGGCACAAGACGGGGACACAAGACGGGGCACAAGACGGGGCACAAGACGGGACAAGACGGGACAGACGGGGCACAAGACGGGGCACAAGACGGGGCACAAGACGGGGCACAAGACGGGCACAAGACGGGGCACAAGACGGGTACAAACTCAGTGAAAATAATATGACTTTATTACTCACCTCTTGTAAAGTTGTAAATTTAAAGTGCAGCATCTCATCCACATTATCCACAGAATTTGTCCTGCGCAAATAGTGACACTCAGTCTACGAAACCGCGCTGTTAATCCAGTTTCTAACGTTCTTTGAAAGTAAAAAGACGAGAGTAGTTCCTTACATGTGTCTGTTTACATCCACACAGCGCATGGATCTAAGTGAAGCTGCAGATTAGTGTTAGGGACTCTACTTCCTGCGTACTTTATCTCCACCACATACAAGTATTGACTTGTATTTAAAAGAGTATCAAAGCGCCTCTCACACTTTACTCTCGACAGGAAACAGCAGATTTGATCGCCCTCACGACTTTATATCCTGTGGTCCGCATCCATCCATGTCTCATAAGATTGTCCTTGTGTCTGTGATTTGCGCTTTTTGTCGCACATTTAAAAATCATTTAAGACTGAAAAATCCTGTAGTGTGTGGCGGCCTTTAGTTGCTATGATACAACAGCTCTCATCAGCTGCTCATGTCATGTTTTAGTTTTTCAGAAATTAGTTTATTTAAGTGGTTTAAACACTGGTCAAGAAAAATACCTGTATCTATTTACACATACAGTATGTTCATACATCTGAAAGCTGCTCACACTTTTTTTCCTGAGAGTGTGCTGTCTAAATCCATTTTTTTCTTGAGTTCTTTAGATCTTAAAATTGTATCATTTTCGTCACATGTTATCTTTATCTTGTATCTCTTTTCCGTCAATAGAGATACATGTAGAACACCCCCAGTGTGAAGTCACTGCAAAGTAACAATAATGCAATCTTTAAAAAAAAATAGTACAAGGGTAATATTTCTGCACTTTATGATGGAAAACAACAAAAAAAATCTTTTATTTTCGAGGTTATCCCTCCAAAAAATAAATTTCTTTTTGTATGTTTTTATGTCACTCACTCCTTGACAGTAGGGCTGAAAGAAATCACTAATTGAAATAACAATTAGAAAGGATGCAAATCTCAAAGGCTCCATTATTTGTAGTACCATAATTTTCTCCACAAAGGACAAAATACTAAAATTGGAGTTATTATAATTCAGAATAAGACAGGATATTTTGTTAATTCTTTTGGACACATTAGATTTGTAAACTTTAAACAGAAACTTGAACAGATCGCAAATCTTATCTAAAAATTGCAAAAACACCGTCTCTGCTCTGTGCTTACCATCCAGTTTCAAATGTGTCTTTAGTTTCTTTTCTCTCTCTCCTCAGACACGTGTTCAAGCGTCTCAAGTTTGTGGGCAATAAGACTGTTTCTCACGTGACCACTCTCTTATTCCTGGCCATCTGGCACGGTCTCCATTCAGGATACCTCATGTGCTTCTCCATGGAGTTTTTCATTGTCATCTTAGAGAGACAAGTGAGTTTTAAGTTTATTTTTTATAAACTTGATATTGTGGTGTTGTCATGCCATTGGTACTAATGATTATTTTAGAGGTCGACTATTTACAAGAGTCAGTTTTGCACAGTATGAGACCAATAATAATGTCTTTGTTATATAGGTAAATATTATAATAGGTGTTTTGGCATGGATTTTTTGAGTCTTTATAGTCCACAATCATTCTTCAGTAAGTGTTGCAGGCTTACTCAGTATAATGTGTTCTCCTGTGTTTGTTTGGTTCAGGCTCAGGCTCTTGTCCGGGACAGTCCAGCCTTGACGAGACTTGCCAACAGTGCGCTGTACCCCCTCATCTACGTCGTACAGCAGTTTATGCACTGGTTCCTAATGGGCTACTCCCTCATGCCTTTCTGCCTCTTCTCCTATGACAAATGGCTCAAGGTAAATCCAGGCTGTTTATAGACACACTGCACCTGATTATTATAACAACACTTTTTCATTTTAAACAGTTTGCAGTGGTTCAAATGTATTTCTAATACATTCTGAGTTTATGAGCACTTTGCACAGCTTTCAGAGGCCATTACGTTAACCCTAACAAACATCACCATGCTAATGATGCATTTCCTGTTTCACACAGAATAAAACACTCTAATTAGAGCTGCTTTTACACTATATCTGTACAAGAGCAGACAGTTTTTATCTACAGTATTTTTCAGACTATAAGTTGCTACGGAGTATAAGTTACACCAGCCAAAAAATGCATAATGAAGAAGAAAAAAACACATCTAAGTTGCACCAGACTATAAGTCACACTTTTTGGGGGAAATTTATTTTATAAAATCAGAGACCAGGGATTGACATTTCATCTTGAAAGGCAAGTTCTAGTAAAAACAACAGATCAGAACAGAGAACAACAGACTGTTAACTTCACATATGAACAGTTCTTCAGATAAACTATAACATAAACAACAGAACAGAACACGTTTACCAAAGTCTCCATCTCACTCCAAATCACTAAAACCTCTGAATTCTTCATCCTCGTGTCACGTCTGAGCAACTCCACGACCTTCAGCGTTAAACGGAGCTCCACTTCCTCTTCTGTGTAGCTGTCGTCAGATTCGGCATCAGTTCCAGTTAGAATTATTCCGGCCTTTCTGAATCCCGACAGGATGGTTTCGGTGTCACTGAAGTTCAGGCTTTGTCGATCCATCCAGTGACTTCAGGAAAGTTACATGTTGCGTCCTCCCGGTTACCATGAAGCTGTGTTCTATATTCCCACTTTCCTCCAGTCCCTCACAAGTTTCTCGCTCACTCCAAACTTTCTTTCTGCTGCTCGATTACTGTTTTCGGCTGAATATTGCACCACTTGCAGCAAGACAGCGGCTTCTTCTGCAGGAGACATGCGCAGTAGTGGACGAAGTGACAGTGGTACAGGAGTAATAGTAGTATCAGATACTGACACACAAGACCAGAGCCTCTCACAGCTGTCAGTCAAATTTAATATATAAGTCGCACCGGAGTATAAGTCGCAAGAAACACCCAAAGCATGAAAAAAGTGCGGCTTATCGTCTGTAAAATATGGTAGATAAAAAAACAGGTAATGGCCCTTTAAATGGGCACGATGCAAGGAGCGTCTGACACATCTCTTCCCCATAGAGAGGGTGTTTTATTGCCTGGAATCTTTCACAAAATGACATTCATTTTCACAGAACTACACGCTAACTTTTCTGCAAGAAAAGTCACATATTCTACCTTCAGTTCACCAAATAAGTCTCCTTATTATGTATTCTGATGTATTGTTCTCTTGTTCCTAGGTCTATTTGTCGATCTATTTCTGCGGACATATATGTCTCATTATAACCTTTTTAATAATGCCATACCTGCGTAAAGCGCTGGTGCCCAAGAAAGACCGAAGCCCGAAAAAGCAAGAGTAAAGCTGCTGAGGCTTCACATAAGGTAAGAGGGCGGTGTAGTTATGTTTCATGTGAGTTTATGGGCCTGTCACGATAAATAACACACAGAACAAGATATTTTGGACCTCAGAATCAGTCATATAAAATGTTTTCTGCAATAGTGGGGCATTTTGTATTTCTTGTGGTACTGAAGAGCTGCTGAAGAGAGTTGAACAAATATCTTCTGTGGCTCATTATCTGTTCATTCTGTAACTTATTTGTTGCATCTCCTTTATATATTGTGCATTTCAAAAAGGGTTCACTGAGATATTTTTGCTTTGGGGTTATCGTGTCAAAGATATGAAGTAGTTTCAAGATTAGTTTATTGGCTATTTTCTATAGCAATTAGGGATGTAACGATAACCGAAATATCGTGAAATCGTATCGTCAAAGTCACAATAATATCGTGGACAATCGCAATATATCGAATTACAAGTCTCTTTGCTTAAATTAGAGTTATAGCTAAAAAAAAAATAGACAGAGGGAACTACATAGACCATGATCCTTTGCTCCATTTCAGTGCAGACTACATGAAGAAATAACAGTTCTAAGCACTTTTAAGTCTTAGTTCTTTGTCTTGTCAAGACATTTTAAGAGGAAAAAGTAGTATATTAACAGTTTTGCTTGCAGCCTCCAAAAAATATCTCAATAAATATCGTATAGTGAGATGTATATCGTGAAAATATCATACGGAGAGATTTGGATATTGTTACATCTGTAATCGTGAGCTTCCCCACAATATCACAATAAATATTGTACCATGAGTTTCATACCGTGACGAAATCATATCTGACTTGGATATCGTTACAGCCCTTATTTATTTATTTATGTGTTACCGTGACAGGCCTATTTATCCACTTTAGAGCTGCATGATATGAGAACAAGACACTAATATTTATTTAAATTATTGCCTACTTTTTGTTCAGTTCTGTTAAATTAAAACTAAAAACACATTTCTGTCAAATTGAGAGCTTTTTAGTGTTTGATATATTTATTTTCTTGCTATAATACTTCGATATTGATGTTTTTGCAGAATATTGTGCAGCTCTAATCCACAAGTTAAAACTGTACTACAGTTCTGTTTTAAATTCCTGTTTAATACAACATTAAATTTCTCTCCCCAGGTCTTTGTGAGGCCGTCCACTCAAGGGAACTGTGACTTTTGGAGCAGAATGGGCAAATTTACGGCATTTAGTAATATATGTTATATATGAATTCTGTATATATAATCTGTATATATACACGTCAGTGGAAAATAAATGTATATTTTTTGTTGCTAGGGAGGTTTTATAAACATTTGACAAATGTTTACAGGAAATTACCGTTGTGCCACATGGGTTTTTGTGGGCCAATAAGGTGTGATTTCCTGTTTTGTATTTTTGAAGAAGAGGGACTATATGAACTTGAAACTTGCTGTCCGCTCTGATTTGCACTGCCTGTTTGTGGGGCTGGAGTTTTCAAAAGCTGCATCTAGTTTTGTTTTAGTTTCATGTCTCACGCTAGCGGTCACAGATTTGCACAGGACTTTCTCTGACATGAGCCCCGTTCACACATGCAGCCTGGTGCTTCGAGTTTACCTGCTTTTTAGCCAGTACTGATTTCCCTGTCATTTTGATCCGGCAACTTCCCGGGTAAATGACTTGTTTTCCTTGATTATAGAGTTGCGAAGCTGTGATCTCACTTCTGGGTCCAAACAGAAACTTCACAGATGATTTTTAGCTTTGTTATTTCCTTATTCATCAAACCTATTTACCTTTCAAAAGCCAGAAATTGTATCAAATATGTAAATAGTGCAGTAATAATCCATCATAACAGGACATTTACCAGTGCATGTATCTTCTTCTTACCTCAGCCTCTCGCTCGAAAACTTTCTGACACTTATAAACACAGATCTATGCGCGTAACTTTAAACCACTGCAATCTTTTAATTGTGAGAGAAAAAAGGAAATTGTAAACATGTTTTGTTTTCTGTCATCTGATGGACCCAGGGGTGACATCGCTTAACAACTCTGTAACCTTGGTTTAGTTTTAGTTTTTATTTTTAATCAGCTTGCTTTCCATGATTACTAGCACGATTTCCTTAGTTATCAGCTTCTTTTCCTTAAGCCCGAAATACACTGCGATTTTTGCCCCTTTTTGAGACGATTTTTCACTCGTGTCACTATTTTTGGGATCGAGTTTTTACTTAATCACGTGTTGTGCTTCGTGTAGCAAACATGGGGTAACGAGAATCGATTAATACCTCACGCTCAGCTCCCCATCGGCGATCGTAGGTCAGACCTGTTTAAAATCCTGTCGCCTCTCGAGAGGGTTTCACACTGATGAAGTATTTCCACGAGCTGTGAACTTTTAAACCCTGAAATGAGTGAAATTATTGAAAATATCGCACAGTGTTTGTCCGGCATTAGTTAGTAGCATGTTTTCCTTGGTTGCCAGCTTGTTTTCTTTGGTTATTAGCATGATTTTCTTAGTTACCAGCTTCTTTTCATTAGTTATTAGTATGATTTCCTTGGTTACCAGCTCGTATTCCTTAATTACAGCTTGTTTTCCTTAGTAACTTGTTTTCCTTAGTTACCAGCTTCTTTTCCTTAGTTATAAGCGTGATTTTCTTAGTTACCAGCTTATTTTCTTTGGTAACCTGCTTGTTTTCCTTAGTTATTAGTATGATTTCTTTAGTTATCAGCTTCTTTTCCTTTGTTAGTAGCACGATTTTCTTATTTACCAGCTTGTTTTCTGTAGGTAGTAGCATGATTTTCTTATTTACCAGCTTCTTTTCCTTAGTTTTAAGCACAATTTTCCTTAGTTATCAGCTTATTTTCCGTGGTTATTAGTATGATTTCTTTAGTTACCAGCTTCTTTCCCTTAGATAGCAGCATGATTTCCTTGGTTATAGCTTGTTTTCCGTAGTTAATAGTAAGATATCTTTGGTTACCAGCTTGTTTTCCTTGGTAAGCAGCTCGTTTTCCCTGGGTATTACCATGATTTCCTTAGTTAATAGCATGATTTCCTTGGTTACAGCTTGTTTTTCTTGGTTACAGCTTGTTTTTCTTGGTTATTAGTATGATTTCCTTAATTACCAGCTTCTTTTCCGTAGTTAATAGTATGATATCTTTGGTTGCCAGCTTGTTTTCCTTGGTAAGCGGATTGTTTTCTTTGGTTATTGGCATGATTTTCTTAGTTACAACTTGTTTTCCTTGGTTATAGCTTCTTTTCCTTAGTTACCAGCTTCTTTTCCTTAGTTAATAGTATGATATCTTTGGTTACCAGCTTGTTTTCCTTGGTAAGCAGCTCGTTTTCCCTGGGTATTACCATGATTTCCTTGGTTACAGCTTGTTTTCATCAATTAGTAGCATGATTTCCTTGGAACGGAGTAAACCCAGCTCTGTTCTGAGACTGGTCCATGTGTGAATAGGGGGCATTACTGAGTTTTCTGGCTTTTTTTTTTTTTAACCTGGCATTTTTCTGGGTACTATGTGTGAATGGGGCTGTAGACTGAACATACACACACAGTCTAAGGATGTGCCACATGTTAAACAGGAGCGCAGCTTTGGTACAGATGAGGCAGGGTTCGCTCTCGGCTGCCAGTGGTTAAAAAAGCACTGTAAAAAAAAAAAAATAACACTGTTCACTAACACACCGATATGAAATGGCCTTGAAACGATGAATGTTTTAGAGTACAAATATTTGGGTTGAATTTTTTTAACTCGAGTTTTCAATGCTTTTTGGAAACAATGGAATTTTGTAGTTTCGAAAAAAGTTTTATGGATTTAAATCATCTTCCTGTGTTGTCAAATGCAAGTTGTTTTTGCCTTATTGTCCTCCAGTCCTCTCACCTGCCACTGTCCACTGCCAACCTGCTCCCTGCATCTGTGAGCGGAGTCTTCCCCAGCATTGAAGTCATCCGTGTGATCCTTTTGTGAAGAACACTTTTGGTTTTGTTTAAGTTCGTCTGGAGCAGCGTTTGTGACATTTCACTCGTTAAGTCTCTGTCACCACAGACCTCATTTTAGATTTGTTCATATTTGTGTTCATTGTAATTGTTCACTGGTATTAATTGTTGACCTTTGCCTTATAATTCTAAATATTGAGAGAATAAGTGGAGAGTGATTTAAATACAATTTTATAATGTTATAAAATGCTGCATTTCAAACTTCACCTGTTTGTGTTGTTTTGTTTGTGTCTGTAGAAGAGTTGGTAAGGCTGGTGCTGCATAGTGCCTCTGCTCAGTTTCATTTCTCTCCAGCGACGTTGTAGATCGTGCACTGACCAATCAGTGAAGAGCTGTGAAGCCATGACGTCAAACTCAAGAGTCTGTCTGGGTCCCTATTGTGGAACAGCACAACAGTAAACAAACGGTCGAGATGGATGTAGATGAAGCCAAACATTCTGTGATGGCAACGATTCCCGAGATCGAGGATTTAAAGCTGGAACAAAAAGAATATTTGGTGAATTTTATCAAGGGGAAAGACGTTATTGCTTTTCTTCCTACAGGATTTGGCGCATTACATACTTCATGACTAAATAGCAGTGATTGGTTAAATAATAAAAAGTACCTGCCTACTGTTGAGTGAACGAATCCTAATGCTGTGAGGTCAGACGGTTTCCTTGAAGTGAAACCAGCTGATGAATCAGGCTATAGAAGGATGACCACCTCACATGAATGTTAAAGATGCACTGTGTAACTTTCCTGTGGGGAAGTGCCTGCTGCTTGTGTAAATACAAATGCTGTTGCTTTACAGTGTCAGACAGTCTCGTGTTAAACATTTAACTCCATAGTGACAAGCTTTTGACTCAACTTCTTACAGGTCAGCTCTGTGGAAAATTGACTGCTCAGTTAAAATCATTGTTAAGAAGTTTATTTAAGGTCTTTTTTTATACAATTAAAATACTGCAGTTTAATAAATGCAGGATAAATGTGTTTAATGCCATACTGAGGATCCTTCCAGGCAGAGCAGGTGGTGGACTCAGCAGAAAAGGTGCATAGTCCAACTTTTAAAGTGAGAGAACAGAGTATGAAAATGCAAGCTTTAATCCTACTTTAATTCTGATCCAGATCTGGTTTAGACCTAGTGAAATCCTGAGTTACTCTTGGGTTAGTCCTGTTTTAGTCCTGGTTTAATTTAGGTCAAGTCCTGGTTCAATCCTGGCTCAGATCTGATTCAGTCCTGGTTCAGTCCTGGTTTAATCTTGGTCCAGTCCTGACTCAATCTGGTTGCAGATCTGGTTTAGTCCAGGTTTAAGCCTATTAATACTGGCTATCTATGGGTTTCAGAGTGATGGAAAAATTAGGACCATTGCCAAAGCAATGAATCAATTATACCAAAAATATATTTAAAATCATGAAAAGTCTTTAAAACTCGCCAGTAACAGAAAGCTTATAACCATGAATAGATAAAGACTGACAGGATTTTCAAGTTATATTCCAACCACACTTTGAAGGCGATTGGAAAAGGCCTAATAGCAACAGAATTCAAGAAAAAAAAGTGTTAATTTATGCAATGAAAATGTATAGTTTTGTTTTCTGTGCGTCAATAAAAATAAATCAACACAAAGAATGAGGGACAGGGGCCTAAATGAGTGCAGCAGGACAATCAAAAGACGGGGACAGGTGGTCTCCGTGAGGTCTCTCTGGTCTCTGGTCTCTGGTCTGGCACATGACGTCATTTTGCAGTCTATAAATACGAGCCGAGGGGATCAGAGGAGCCACAGAGTGAATAATAATATTTAAAAACGGGAGCAAAAAAAGCGTGTGTTGTTGTTACGGGGGTGTGCGGATCGCGGAGAATAGACGCTTGTGCGGCCTGAGTCACTGTGAATGTGCGTTGTACAGCAAAAAGCAGCATCAGTCGGTGCACTACGGGCAGGTGGGGGCCGATGGAGCGATGGAGATGGAGAGGGAGAAGGACGCGACGCAGTGTGGGCGGGTAGAGAAGCGCCGAGAGGGAGGGGACGCGAGCACCGTAATATTCCCAAACGCTTTCCCCCCTTCTCTTACCGTAGCGCACCGAAAACAAGGACACCATCCGTCTCCCAGCTCCCCCGCGTTCCCTACTTGCTGAAGCGCGCGCCTGAAGCCTTCCTATTTTCTCTTTTCCCACCGATTTGAGCACCGGTCGCGCAGAGATCGTGCCTGCGGGGCTCTGGGAAGTCGTTTGAGCCGAGGGCAGGGGCGTGAGAGGCGGATGCTGCGCGCGTAGAGACTGGGCATCATCCAGGAGCATCAGCAGTGTCGCCACGGTAATGTACCCCCTCTGTTACACCACGTTTCACCTTCAATCCGCGCGTAATTGTTGAGTTAATCCGACGTTTGCGCGCGATTACAGCCCTTTTTACGCGTTCAAGTCAAGCGTTTGCGCGTAAAACAGCCCGCTTCATGTCGCATAGCATGTTTCAGCACCATCGCAGCCAGCAACCTGTGATCAAAGCGCTTAAACCCGTGTTGCACATTCGCACATATCCTCCTGGCATATGTTTTACGTGCCCCTGGGCTGCGCAGAGAGGTGAGGAATACGTTTAAACGCAGAAATACGAGGCCCTATAGCTGTTATGTCAATGAGCGCTAACCCCCAAGGACTCATTCTATCATTTGTGGCCAGTGCTGAGGCTGCTACATTAAAAGCCTACCTTTCCAGCACCTTCATTTGAGCTACAATTAATAGAACACAAGAATGACTAAGCTACGCCGTGAGGTTTCAAAATAGAGCCTTTACTGAGCTGGGTTTTTGGAGCTCAAACTGGAAATAACTATGTCAGGATATGTCAGCGTTGGTTTCATTCACTCTGCCGTGGATCTAACAGGTTTACACGCGTAAAAGCTTAATTTTATCTAGCAGCTTTAGTGACACCATGGGGTCTGAGCGTGGCTGGGAATGTTGAATAGAGTAGAGGTCCGGTAAGTAGCCCATATTCGCTCTGGTCCTGGTTTAGACAAGATTATACACCGTTTGAGTCCTGGGGATATGAAGCCAAGGATGTGCTCACAGTTTCATGTTCATTCACGATATCAAAATTGAGGCTAAACCAGGACAAAACCCAAAACTAGACCTGGATTAGGACAGGAGTACACAAAGACAGTACACAAATTCACATCAGGAATAAAACACGACCAAATTTAAGATCAAATCAACAGTGAATGCACTATTTTACTAGGTTTAGACATGGCTTTTAGTTCGATGTCAGACCGATCCAGTTTTTTTTCAGTCCTGATACCAATTTTGAGACCATAGCTTTAAATATTTCCTTAAAACTAAAATAAAACAAGACAGAAATGTGTTTAGTTCTCTAGATTTGTTTCTAAGGATGTGATCACACTTGCATATTCATTCAGGACATCAAAACTGAGACTAAACCAGGACTAAACCCCAAACTAGACCTGGACTAAAACAGGACTAACCCAAGTCACATGAAGAATAAAACAGGACCAGATTTAAGACCAAATAACAAAATAAAACAAGACAAAACTGACCCAAATGTGTTACGTCTTGGAGATATGTATCCAAGGATGTGATCACACTTGCACATTCATTCACCACAGGAAAATTGAGACTAAACCAGGACTAAACCCAAAACTAGACCTGGATTAGACAAGGACTAGAACAGGACTAACCCAAGTCCACATCAGGAATAAAACAGAACCAAATTTAAGACCAAATAACAAGAGTGAATGCACTGGTTTACCTTTCCTTAACTGTATTCAGTTCAGGTTTAGACTTGGCTTTCAGACCATAACTTTAAATATTTCCTTAAAACTAAAATAAAACAAGATAAAAAGTCAGGTCTGCATCTAAGGATGTGTTCACACTTGCATATTTATTCAGAGAGACTAAACCAGGACTAAACCCAAAACTAGACCTGGACTAGAACAGGACTAGAACAGAACTAACCCAAGTCTATATCAGGACTAAAAAGGGACCAAATTTAAGGCCAAATAACAAGAGTGAACACACTAGTTTACCAGGTTTATTCATGGCTTTCAGTCCGATGTCAGACCTGGATGCACCGATCCAGCTTTTTCAGTTCTGATTCCAATTTTGAGACCACAACTTTACATATTTCCTTAAAACTAAAATAAAACAAGACAAAACCGATCCAAAAGTGTTAAGGAGCTGTTATTTTTCCCACAAGTAACAGCTGAACATGTCTGTATAAATTCAAACATTCTGAACTTGACGAGTTAATTGTTTTATTACGTCAAAATATATTTATTTATCCAGGATATCGACTGAACCGATATTTGGAAGTCAGCTTTTTCAATATTGGTGCCGATATCAGATACCAGTCCCTCGTGTCCAGTGCCCTTTACTGATTAATAACGTCCATGTTTAGTCCAGGCTTAGTCCCGTGGGTCAGATCTGGTGTAGTCCTAGTTTCTATACCTGGTTTGCTCCAGTTTACAGTAAAGATTATATAGATTATATCGAGTTTAGACCAATCATTACCAGCCTGGAGGTCTCCAAAGATTCTCAAAGGTTCCCAGGGGTTTTTGAAAAGAGGTCCAAACTCAACTGTGTGGATTTTAATAATGTCCTGATAATGGGCGGCATGGTAACTAGGCTGTAAAGTATTTTATAATCCTTGCTGTTCTGCTCTATAACATTTTTATTGGCCAGAAAATGACTTTATTTTCTCTTACAAGACACCAGCTCGTTACAGACCAATTAATCCCAATCATGCTTTAGACCTGGTTTCATTAAAACCATTTAGATCTGTGTTGGTTTAGGTCCTGATGTAGTTTTCTTTTGGTCCTGGTTTAGTCCTGTTTCAGAACTGGTTTAGTTTGGGTTTATACCTGGTTCAGATCTGCTTTAGTCCCGGTTAAATCTTGGTAGTCCTAGTTCAGTCCTGTTTCAGATCTGATTTAGTCCTGGTTTAATCTTGGTCCAGTCCTGGTTCAATCCTGGCTCAGATCTGGTTTAGACCTGGTTAAATCTTAGGTTAGTTTTGGGTTAGTCCTGGTTTAGTCCTGGTTCAGTCCTGGTTTATATCTGGTTTAGTCCTGGTTAAATCCTGGGTTAGTCCTGGTTCAATCTTGGTTTATTCCTGGTATAATCTTGGTCTAGTCCTGGTTCAATCCTGACTCAGATCTGGTTTAGACCTGGTTCGGTCCTGGTTCAGTCCTGGTTTAGTCCGGGTGTATTCCTGGTTTAATCTAGGTC